GGAGCAAAAGGAACCTTTCAAGAAACTTCAAGAAAGTTAATTTGAATACATAACTTCTAGTGTTTCTTGAGCCTCTAATATTTTTGTTCATTGGCTGTTCTATTTTCTTTTAAAATAAGTTTAATAGTAAATCTAATAATGAGGATTTTTTTCTATTGGTGATTGAGTTTTAAATATCAGACTTTTTGATTCTCTTATTAAAGTAATCCCAAAACAGTTTAATAACTTAAGTGATCTCTGATCACGCACCATGGTCTTCCCCCACTTACTGTTGCTGGGAAACATTTGAGCCTGATGGGTACAAATCATGACATTCCATGTGATGTGTACAATACTATAGTCCTTTCTGGAATAATAATAGCTAATTAAAGATAAATGTTAAATAGCAGCAAATGTTTGGATAAATGAGTGCGGGGGAAAGGAGGTGCCTCAAAAGGAGAGAGTGGTTCTTATGTATTATTACACCTGGTGGCTAATTCTGCATTCCAAGTCTGCATCATTCACCAAAAGGGTCTGATGGATGTAAATCAGAAGAGAGAAGTTAAAATGGCTTTTTTATAGTGACATAAATCTGAGATAGATGGAGAAGCTTTGTCACGCATTATGATTTGTTTAGTTTTAAACTATTTAAGAAGAGTATTATTAAAAGATTTCTAATTTTCAAGACATTGTGTGTGTGTAGATAGACATAAGTCTTAATGGGCAAAGATCTTGTGATTTCCATTATTTTGTGTGAAGCAATCTTCTAACAAGAAAAGACAATTGGATATACTTAACTTCCTAAATATGGGCCTGATCCAAAACCCATTGAAGTCAATGGAAGTTAAGTTGTAGTAGTGCATCACAATTCTTTTTGGTCATTTCAAACAGTTTAACTTAAACTGTAATTATTACTATAGAGAGTGAGAAGTCAGTTGAAACAGTGAAAACCACATTGAGTTAAATTAATTCTGTAAATATTTAGTTTATGTTCAAAACAGTCCCTCTCTCAACTATAATTCCAAATGATTACATGAAGAAATTCAGTGTTAGTTTTGTGAACTGGGCACACTGCCTTTCTATAAACCAGAAATCCCTAATAGACATTAAAATGGCAGATGAAAGTTAATTAAGCAATAATCTTATCCCCTATTTCACAGGACAATTATCCAATTCCCTAGTGACTCATTTATCCCAAGAAAAGAATTGAGTGAAACGTGTTGGTGATGTCATCAGTTTGATTGTCCACTTATCTGCCTGATTTATCAGGGAGCAATTAAATTTGTTGTGAGTATTTTGATCAAACAAGAGGACACATTCTTAAATAAAATATCTGTTGATATAACCAGATCCTGAACTGTCATTGATAGTCTCTACTCACAGCTGTGTTTACACATTATTGCTACTAGAGTTTTTTTTTTTATATATTGAGAAAGGACAGTGATCAGGCTGAGAGAGCTGTAGAAATCGATGGAGAAGATTTAACACCTTTAACTAGAAAAGTCGGGGGGGGGGGTGAGAGTATTTTTGTTTCATTAGCAAAGTCTTACATTTTAATGTCAGATACCAAATATTTAGTCTATAAGCAAATGATAAAAACTAGCAATGTTGTATGAAATACTTCTTGTATTAGCTTACTCAAGTAACAATCCTTCCAACAAAAAGTGTAATAGAAGAGCTGGATTCAGCCCTTAATGTCCTAGTAACAAACTCATGTAAGAGCAGATTTAAAATTGCAGCAGCAGTGACTGTCTCTTAAATACAGTGACATTATCAAGTCCTGGTCTACACTACAAATTTTTGTTGGTATAAACCACGTCGCCCGGGGGTGTGGAAAATCTTACTCCTGAGTGACATAGTTTTACCGACCTAACCCCTGGTGTAGACCATGCTACATCAACGGGAGGGCTACTCCTGTCAACATTGCTACCCCCTCTCGAGGAGGTGGAGAAACTCTCCCCCTTTGGCATAGATAGTGTCTTCACTAAGTGCAACTGTGACACAGCTGTGCTGCTGCAGCACTGTAAGTGTAGACAAGCCCTAGGTATGGATGTGCTAGTTCTCTTGTGGCATTTCTGTCCCATATACATTTAATATTAAAATATCACTTCTTTAAAAATGTCAAATTTACAAGTACAAATAGCAGGCTGTATCATGCATAGAAGACAGTGTCTCTCACAAAGGGTTTTCCATTTACATAACACAATAAAACTCAGGTGCCTAATACATGAATGGATCAGGCAAGGTCCAGTTTTTGAAAGATGTTTTCTTTGTTTTTTTGAAATAATTTCACACTTTAGATTATAATTTAAAAGCTCCACAGAAGAACTTCACCTTGAGATGTGAATTAAGAAAAGGTAGGAGTGTTTGTGTGTGGTGTAGTAAGAAATTGATGCTTCCACACAGTGGGCAATGCAGGCAATGGTGAAAGACTGTACAAAGACAAGAGCGGGAGGAAGGAAAGAGTAGGTGTGTGGAGTGGGTTAGACAAAGGGAGTAAGGGAGAATAAGGAGAAGTGGGGATTCTACTTGAATAGAATGTTTCTAACTCCCCAGGGTATCTGATGGTAGCCTAGAAAATTTTTCTAGTGTGGTTACTCACTGTGGCAACACAATTATCCAAGCAGCAGGTGTTGGATGTGTTACCTGCCTATTTCTACTAATACAATATTTTGATTGTCATTTTCTTTTTCTACAATATTTGGACTCATTTTAAATTGTAGACAATATATGGTAACGTTTCAAGCTAGATGTGGGGACTTAGCTGCTGTCAAATTTCACTAATATCTGTGGGAACTGTGCATAAGTCTATGAAATAAGTCATCATTATGAAAACCTATCCTTTACACACTTAAAATATTTATTAAATTTGTCATACCATTCAGTCATTCAAAGAAAGCTCTGCATAATAAGATGCCAGTCAAAGGTGGATCACTTTGTACATTATATTTCCTTTAAAGAACAGAAAGGTTGCAGAAAAGCTCTTGTGATTGCTGTCTACATATAATGAATGCTAACACCACAAAGGCTGTTGAACTGAAAATAACATACAAAATGTGTTTAAAGAATCAAAAGAAATTTACAATGCATTTTGTCAGTACAAAATGCAAACAGTTAAAGTATTAACTTCAGCTGAAATTTCTAACAGTTTCCTTGAATTAATGGGAGAATTGCAATGGGTTTTTAGTTATAAGAAATTCTTGGAGCTTTGAAAGGTTCAGTGGAAGCAATAGGGAATAACAGCCTTACTTTCATATTTCATTATTAAATATCAATTTTTAGAAGAGTATAGAAAGCCCTTGTTCTGTCAGAACATCTAAACCTCTAACTTCACCAAAATAATCTAAGAAACTAGGGAAGTGTGCTTTTACAAACAATACTATTGTGGGAGAAGTTACCAACCCATGAACATCCATTGTATTTTAATTTTAAATTCCTGGAATAAACACCAACATCTCAATGACTTCAGTCAGAATTGAAAACTATTTTCTCTGACATTGTTTGGAAGATAACTTCTTTCCTCTGACAGTAGTTATGATATCAGATAAAGTAAGTTCTCTAAGAGAAAAATCCTCCTTAGATCCTTCAAAACCTATTGTATCAGAAAAACAAAGTCAACAATAAACGGGCCTAGTGTATGAGTGAATACCTGCGTGTGTGTGTATATATACCATTTGTTTCAGTATCCAGAACTCTGGTCACTGCTTCTGGGTATTCAGCCCACATCCACTGATCTCAGAAGTGTGTTATGAGAATTATTCAGTAAGAAGTCTTTCAGAAAATTCAGGCTCTGCTGTTATGAAAGTCCAAGAGTGTTATCCTGGCCCCACTGAAGTTAATGGCAAAACTCCCTTTGAGTTCAGTAGTGTCAGGATTTCACCCCAAATGGTCTGCATAAAGTACAGTGCACCCAGTTCCTTCTATTTTCTTTTGAATCCTTATATCTCTTGTATCCACTTTGCATTTTCTCAGGAGTCCCCTTTCAGAAATCTAAGGTCATATAATGGAGCCTAAATGGGGTATTTCTGACAAAGGAACGTTTTAAACCTGTTGTGGAAAAACTGCCATATTTTCTTAATCTCAAATCTTTCCCAGTGGCCATTGCGTCTGCCAAGAGGGTTATATTAATATGGTAGCCCTCTTTATCAAAGGATTTTACGTGCAGTTTCTTCCAGACAAGGTGATTGTCAAACCACCTTCTGGTTTGTTTGTTTATTTATTGATTAATATATTCCAGAGTCCTCAAACAGGTTGGAATAACGTCCTATACCAGCTGTAATCAGGACTCTCAAAATCTACTTTGAACAAAACTAAATACAAATCTAACCATTCCTGATTTCATATTTTCCTAATCAGGAGCAACTGAAAGGAAATTCTGTTCTCTGGCTTTGTAAACAGAAAGATATAAGTAGGATGATCTCTGTATTCTTGTTGATCAAATACTATGAGATGTTCTTTCAGTTCTTTTAATGCAAAGCCTTTCAGTTAGCTCTAAATTCCATGCATTACAATAAAACCGAAGACGTATTATTGATAGATATAGATGAATAACGAAATGTTCCTGCCTGTTTGGGTTCACCTGTTTTGAGCTTGTTTATAGTTCTAAATCAATGTGTTCTAAATCAGTGATTCTCAGACTTTTTTGTACTGGTGACCCCTTTCACATAGCAAGCCTCTGAGTGTGATTTTCCCCCCCCCCCGCCTCCCCTATAAATTAAAAACACTTTTTTAAAAAAATATATTTAACACCATTATACATGCTGGCGGCAAAGCGGGGTTTGGGCTGGAGGCTGACCCCCCATGTAATTACCTCACGACCCCCAGTTTGAGAACCCCGGTTCTGAATGGTACAGCATGCTATATGGTGTATTATACATGTAGTAGAGTGCACCCAAAGAGATATTGCCACAGATGAATGCGTGTCCTTATAACATTCTAGGACCTGTCATAAATGTTTTTTAATTTACCCTCCCAATTCTGAATCACTATTTTCCTTTGTCGAAACTGCATACTGGCAACAGGGACGTGCATATTATACAATGACACTTGCGCTGTGAAGAGCAGTGAGCTCAACTGTCAGATAATGCAAGAAAATGCTGCTGTCTGCTCCTGTAAGTTTTTCTTCAAGGACCTTCTTGGCCACTACTTCTCATTGCCTGCCAAGTTCTTATCTAGCTAATTGCTTTAAGGCTACTTATCTTTAATTACGTTGACTATCAAGAGTTTGCAAGTTTACTCTTCGGTATATAAGGTTGGAATAACCTACAAACATTAGTAACTGGGGGAACAGCTCCTTGCTTATAGTACATCAGTCTTTCAAACTGAAACATCTTTATTTCTGGGGTTGGGGGTTTTTTTGTTTTTGTTTTGTTAGTGCAGGAAAGAGTGATTAAATGATATGCTTTTTGTCTGAATTTTTGTTGTTTAATACGTTGTGATTGATCTTCAATGTTTTAGTTCCAGAAGGCAGAATCTGATCTGGATTACATTCAACACAAATTGGAGTTTGAAATAATGAAAAACCTTCCTGAAAATCCATCAGCAGAGGTACTATTTTCAGATTAAATTTGTAAATTTTGTTGTATCTTGCACAAATTCACTGTAAATGGGTAATTCTCTAATCATAAAACACATGTGATTGGATATATATCAAAAACTCCTGGTCATTTTGTATGTTTTTGTTTTTATACTCTATTTTTGCAACATACCAAGACAGTTGATGTAGATTTATTTCAAAATAGCCACATCTTAGTATAATGGAATGCTCCATACTTGTGTTTTGAGAAATCAGCTGGAGTGTTCGCAGGCACTGTCAACTTCAACACCCTCCTCAAGACACACCTCTGCTATGACACTTGCAATAGATCAGCCAACAAATGATGACTAGACTCAGGGCTTGTGGGAGAAAGAAAAAGAGTAAGGGGGGGTATAATACATTATTTATAGTATTTTTTGTAAATCTTCCCTCATCCACCCCACATGTTCAGATGCAGTGAAAAAGAATATTGATTTTTTTTATTTTATTTATTTTTTTTACAAGAGGTGGCTTACACGTTCTAACTCAGGAAAATTTAAGAAAGCACAAAAACACAGTATCTTCATTCTATTGTATCTTCTGTGGAACCAGAGAGTTAGTGGCTTATTACTATTTGTTTGCCTATGAAAAGTTATCATGTGGCATGGGTAGATGGAGCAAGAGGTTTCCAAGACATGAAAGATGTCATTTTATGGGTAATGTGCTACTGATTGTAGTTAAGCGCTTCCACTATAAAGTGTCTCTTTCAATTCTCTTTTTAACAGCTCTAGTTGCCATATACTTTGGGAACATCTAATCTGTTCAGTCTTGTGTAGCCAAATTGATCATCTTTCTAATGTCTTGATAGTTTAAATGTACTTTTCACCTTGATGTAGGAAAATCCAGTGACTCTCTTAGAGGAACTCTCAGTGGTGAAGTCACGTTATAAAATGTTATGTACGCAGCTGGAAGAAATTTCTATAGAGCAAAGAGAGTCTATGAGCTGTATTCATGCTACTCTAGAAAACACTATGAAGATGGTGCAGGTACTACAGCGACATGCTGATCTTGAGGTAATGTTTTCAGTTTACTAATACGGGCCCCAGTCCTGTAAATGCACACATGTAACCTTATGGATGGGAGTAGTTCCTTTGAAATCAAGACTAAACATGTATGTACCAAAATGTTACTGGAACAGGGCTTAGATTTTCTTTTTTGGGTGGAAAATCTTCTTACATCTTCTGTTGAGAGATCACATTACTGAAGTAACAGCTCAATATATTGTACTCAATCTTAAAAACGCTTTTGCATTTGAGCAGCCCTATTGAAGTGGGGCTACTCACGTTAAAAGTGGGGCTACTCATGTTAATTAAGGTTTCTGGGACTGGGCCCATTGTTGAACTCAGGTCTGATTCACCATTGTGGTAATCCAAGATAATTCTGGTGGAATTCCATTGATTTCAAGATGAAGTAAAACAATGGTGAATCATACCCCATGTCGCTGAATAGTTTGATGGAAATTGATGTTTCAGACACTGAATTAAATCCCAATTTTTAAACTGATCTTTGAAGTGTTCTCTATTATCTTGAAAGCTGCCAGGTAGAAAGTGAAACTGACTGTAAAGAAAACAAAATGACCAATGTATTTTCACTGTGAGTGGAGGTAAATATAAAATTGTGAACATTCTAAAATTATTTTAATTTTGAATAATCTCAGATGATAGAAAATTTAAAGCTTTATGTAAGCATTATCATATTTTTAAAAAGTTTCCTTGTGTTTCTAAGTGTTGTGCAAACATTGACTACTTAATCCTTCAAAAACCTCTTATAGTTACTTTTGTAGACAGGGAAGGTTAGACCTAGAGAAGTTAAGTGATCAGCCCAACATCAAACAGAATGTTAAACTAAAATATTCCTGGGTCCCAGCCCTGTGCTCAGTACACTGACTGGATGGCACTGCCTCTGTCAAAATATTATACTTAATCTGACCGTGTCCCTAACCAAACATTGTGACTCCTACTTTTATATTCTATATAATATAATATAAATAAAGTTATGCTTTCTCATTATTTAAAAAAATGGCAGTTTCCTTCACCGCTCAGAAGAGAAAATACAATGACCTTTCCTCTCCATTTGTGCCAATGTTATGCTGCCAAGTAGCATGTTGAGAATAATTGTATAGGTTTCTGTCCTTGGGTGAAGTGGTAAAGTCCTGAGCCACTTACTTGTGCCAAGTAGGATTAGGCAACAAATTTTCAGCTAGTAGTTTGTATATTTGTTTGTAGCCGTCTCTATACTTACTATAGCGGAGACTGATGAAACAATTTAAAAAGCAGGATTAGAATTTTTTTTAAATGGAACATTTATTTTTCAGATGTTAATCTATAGTTCTAACATTAGAATACTATGAGTAGATTTTTATTTGGAGTTTGAACATGAGTTTAATGGTGGGATTTTCAGAAACACTCAGCCTTAACTCTTCTCCCATTGAAGTTAATGGGAGTTTACCATAGTTTTAAATGGGAAAAGGTTTAAGCAAACTGAGTGCTTCTGAAAATCCCACCGTAAATGGTGAAAATAGCAGTTTCTTTTTCCCCCTAGCTTTCACCTCTGTCTGAAGAAGAACAGACTGCAGCACAACGCTTAGCATGTAAAACGGTTAAAGGAACAGATCCACCAGTGGAAGAGGTAATTGTGGCTTTATATGGCTTGATTCTGCAATCCCCTTACTCCCAAGTAATCTCTGTGAAGTCAGTGGGACTATTTGTGTGAATTAGGACTGCTCCCTTGACTAGCAGTTTTCAGGAGCGTGCCCTGAAATAGTTTCACTTTTTACTTTTCCAGTTTATTGCACAAATGTTTTGTTTTGTTGTGCCCCCCTCCCTCTTCTCCCCCAGGGAATGGTTTTAAGAAAATTTTGTTTTGGAAAAGCAACTTTAATCTCTTACCATTTACTAAGAAAACAGTGACTCTTTGTATTTATATGGTAGCATATATTTTAAAGTACAAGAGGATGGGTAAATCATGCCGCTTTAGATCACATATAGCATGCAAAACAAACATGAACAGTACCTTGAATTCAGAAGAGCATTCTGTTCTGGTTGATCAGTTTCTTGTCACAAGTGCTCTGTCAGATCATTCAGCTATTAGTAGAATAGCTACTAAATCTTTGGGGTGGGGGTGAAGAGCATAATTACTTCAGTCAAATGCCTAGACTGATTTTCAATATTTATAATTTCCTGTTAAATATTAAATTGAAAACTGGCTAAGAATAACTTAACCACATTACAATGCTGCTGCAATATAATATGAAACGAAAGAAGTCTAACACTTTTAGGCAGAAACTCAGGATTTCTGCCATAAAACCAATCATAACAAAGACTTTTCATGGTATTAAACAACAAATATCAGCAAAGATTTGTCAGGATCTTTGTTACATAAAACCTGGACTTAAATCATATTTGTTTTAATGTATCTTCTTGACCTTGTCTGTCTCTCTCCTTTTTCCACTGCTTATCTATCAATGCCACTTCACTTTCTGTCCTTTCATCACCACTGTTTGACAGTCTTCCAGTATCTTTCTGCTTCAACTCTATTTTTGCTAATTTCATCATTAACATAATTATAATCCTAATTAAATCACAATGATAATAATATCATTTGTATTACTTTAGTGCCTTGGAGCCCAAGTCATGGAATAGGACCCATTGTGCTAGGCAATGTACAAAAGCAACAAAGACCATCCCTAACGCAATGAGTTTACAGTTTAAGTAAAACTCATCATCTTTTCCCTTCCCCTGTTTATCTTGAGTGGTCAAGATACAATTTGTATTCAAATACCCCAGACAAAATTAGGCCTACCCCTGCTCCAATTGAAGTCAGGGGAATCAAGATTGGGCCCTAAATAGGCATTGCATGTTTTTGTTGTTTTTCAAAGAGGAAGAGAAATCACCCCATCTTAAAGGCTCTGTGTTTTGTTAACCCTCTCTTCTGGCTGAGGAAAGCTGGATGCAGCTTCCTCTAGAGCCCATCAGAACTGTTGGCCTGCAAGAACAGCTTTATAAAGCTCTTACGCATCTCTTTCCCTTCCTTGTGCTGTGTGTGCAGTGCTTTCAGCCACTACCAGATAGGAGAACTGGCTGGCCTGACTTGACAGCTGATTTCCCCCCCCTCCCTTCCCAAACCCGTGTTATCTGTTCGGCACTAGGATTTCCGCCTGCTGACTAGTAGCTAGTGTGGGAGCTCACCAGGAAGCATTCACTTAATGCTTAGGAATTCTACCATATCAATTCCTTGGCAATTAATTGCCAGCAATCAGCCACATTTCTATATTGGTAACGATGTTAAAAACTACAGCTACTACTTCAAAATTGTAGCACAGTATGTATGAAACTTGACATTCTGTTTGTTTTTAGCCACTTTGTTCAGTGTCTACAGTTCCTATTCCAGATGGGGGTAAGTGCTGACAACCCCCTTCTCCTGCTTTGCAGAAATCAGCTTCCTTTTCTGAGCATTAACATTTATTTTTTTTCTGGTTGCTAAAAGTGTGTATATAGGCCCCTCTGTAGAGGTGTGTGTGTGTGTGTGTGTAGATAACCACATAACTTTAATTGTAAGATATTCAAACACACCAAGTTCAATATTTAGGATGTCAGTATGTATCTTAAGAGTATATTGACATTGTTAGTGTATTTCGCTGTGGACCTATATATTGTGAAATTCAAGGTTAGCATAAAAAAATCAACTTTTTTAATAGATATATAATATGCCCACAATGAAGTGTGTGTATGTATATTTTATTTTGTGTGTGTAGATATTTAAAAAGTTGGAGTTTTTTGGATGCTAGCCTTAAATTTCATAATATAGGCCCACAATGAATACACTAACAATGTCAATATACTCTTAAGATACATATTGATATCCTAAATATTTACCTTGATATTTCAAATATATCTTACAATTACAATTAAGGTTAAGATTTTGTCAGTTATTTTTAGTAAAAGTCATGGACAGGTTGCAACCAATAAACAAAAACTCATGGAAACCTGTGACCTGACTTTTTTTACTAAAAATAATGGGTGTGGAGGAGGGGGACTGATGGGGGATGACTGAAGCCCAAGCCCCACTGTGGGGATGAGAGCCCGAGCTCTGCTGCGAAGGGGGCTCCAGTACTCACCACTTTGGCAGCTGACAGCTCTGGGGTCCCCACCACCTGTGGCAGCTTGAAGCTCCAGGGCCTCTGACAGCTCTGGCCTCACCATCCCAGGGCTGAAACTGCAGCAGAAAATGTCAGAGGTCTCTGAAAGTCATGGAATCTCTGACTACCTCCATGACAAACTCCTATCCTTAATTATAATAATCATTACCAAGGAATGGTTGGATAAATCTCCTTCAGTTTCTGAAAGTAAGGCCTTGCAAATAATTTTAGCTGAGAAATGAAGGCTCCTACTACCACTGATGGCAAAACTTCCATTCACTTGTGGGGGAAACAGGATCAGGCCATGAAGTTTTTGGTCTGAGATGTCTGTAGAACTTAGTGCTTTAAGTAAACAGTTAATTTACTGTAGTTATAAAATAAATGAACACAGATGTTAGTAATTAGTTTTTAACATTCACTGTAGAGTATATACTTAAATGTGAGAAACTGAGGGTCAACTTCAACCTCAGGTACAACTCCTGTTTATTTCATTGGGAGTTATGCCAGGACTGAAACTGGTCCTAAATCTGAAATTGTCTTTATAGTTTAAAAAGACAGTGTTAGTCTTAATATGGGAATAATCATTGCTTTGTCCGGACATGAATCTTTATAACAGGGTTTTTCCCAGTGATCTATTGGTAGAGTCTTGTTATACCAAATTGACAGACCCATATTAGGTTTCCATACATACCTACTTTCTCCCCAGGCCAGTAAAAGCCTCAGCAGTCTGGAGGTGTTACACAAGCCGAGGGGAGGGAAGACCATTTAAAAGTGTCCTTTAAGGGTTCTGAGAGAAACACTTTTTCTTGGCTGGGAGAAGGCTGTTTGGTGCCTGGCCACGAGAAGTATCTAAAGTGGGAAAAACTATAATCTTCAGGACTCCTTTGAAGTTCCTAGAGGAACTTGCCAGGCTAGAAAGAGATGTTCACTTATTTATTTATTTATTTAATCTGTATTTTGTATTTTTAAAATTGTATTCTCCCACTTCCATGATTTATTAAAGAAATTACCTGTTTTGCTCAGCACATCACTCTGAATGCTACAGCTGTAATAGTGAGAACTGCACATTACTGCGTAGAAATTGTGATGTACTGAAGGGGTGGGTGGTTAACAAGAATTGATACTTTTGAAGCTACTGCTGGCAAGCATTGTGTTGCTGAGATGAAAACCAAATGGAAAGTGATGCCGCCTGTTATATTCTATATGTTTGATATTGCATATGCATAATGATGAACATGCCAGTAAATAAATATCACTTTTCAGCTGGGATGACTGCTTCCAACAATATGTTCAGAACAGTATTCATGTAACTGTTATAGTTGGTACATGGGCAGATATGCCTTTCACCAGTCTTACAGTTTTCCAGTGTCAGTGCTGAGCAAAACTTGTATAAATTAGGTGTTGCAGCAGTTTGATATGCTATGTAAGCAGTATTACATGAGCACTTCTAAATATTAAAGTAACCCTAACTTCACCTGTGTATATTTTTGAGTAATTTTTTATTTTAAAATTGCTAGAACCACAGTTCAAACCAGTGACTAAGGAGATGTTGATGGCTGTACCAAAGATTATCAGAAGCACTGTTAAATTAGTGGACCTGAACAGCTTTTACAGGGAACTATTTAACTACTTTGTTCTAAATGGGAACAGGTAAGCATTGAAAGAGTATATGATTATTAGTTTTTTCAAGCCTTTCATTTTTAGTAGTTCATTGGTGTGACTAATAAATCATAACTTAATGTAGGCTTTTTTGAAACCAAACAGCAACTAAATCTGGAGTCATCATATTGCAGCAAGCAGTTAACTGGTTTCAAAAATTGATCTAGGCTCCTGTTGTCGATTTCTGTTAGGGTAAATGTCCCAAGATGACACGGCATCACACCCCTTTCCTCCCCCCCGCCCCATACTCCTTTTTTGAGTAGGGTTGGTTTAAATGAAAGTATCAATTATCTTTACTCATATTTTAGCAACATTAAACAGCAAGTTCAACAGAAATAAATTGTTTAACTTAGGCCAGGTCTACAACATTAAACTTAAATGTCTATGCTAGAAGAGATTTGCAGGTATAGCTATACCAATAAAACCTCTTAGTGTGGTTGCAGCTTATATTGGTTAAAAATGCTTTTGCCAGTATGCCTTATTCCAGTTTGACAAGCTAAATAAGCTATACCTATAAAAATACTTTTACACTGGGATAACTATCTACATTAAGGCTTTTGCCCGTACAAAATTATTACAAACCTTCTACCCCCACTCCATACATACATACATACATACATACATACATACATACTTCTAACTGACATTGCTATATCAGGGAAAGTTTCTAGTGTAGACCTGGCTTAAGATGTTGAGCAACATTTTTGAGAAATTATTTATGAGGAGAACTTGGGCTCTGTCTTTTCAGATTTCAGTAAATACTTTGTTGAATAGTTTGCTCTTGTCTTGCAGAGCAGCATTGAATGTTGCACAGATGAACAAGATGAATATGAAAGCCACCAATTCCCGGCTACAAATCCTGAAAGAACTTTCCATTGTAGAAATTGACAAACAAGGAAATGCTAAGTTAATTGTGTAAATTTAAGCCTAAATGAACTAATCATATTTTGATAGAAGGAATTTGGGTGCAGCTCCTGGTGTATTGGTAGGCAAATAGTTCTCTGTTTATAAAAATGATACACATTGTGAAAATGTGTTGTTAATGTGACTGTATTAGGATTCTCTTTGTAATACCCAATTGTGAATTAAAAAGCATATATCAAGTTTTGTAAACTACTTTGCTTTTAAGATTTGTAGGACATAGTGGACAGAATCACATTTTTAACTCCATCATATTTCAGTACTTGTTTTCCTGAATGGTGATGAATGGCTTCTAACCAAACATTTTTACTTGTACTTGGATTCCTGAGTAAGTGATATGAAAGCCAAGTAGGCTATAAAAGTTTTACTACTTCATAGGTCACAGTTCAGGGCAGCTGGCCGTGTAGTCCATCAGTGGCCCAGCAAGGACATGCACTTTCAGGCTTCTGGTTCCTCAGCTGTTACCTGTCCTGGGCGGAGACACGCATCTCACTTCCTCCTGACCAGGATATTTCCAGGCTGCACAGTTCCCTGCCTACACTATGAATTACTCCAGAAGACTGACTGCCTAAGCAGGTTTGCTTTGCCGTCTTTTCAGAGACTATAATCAGTGTGATTGTCCATAGTTAAGTTACCACACAGCTCTTTCTAAGCAAGCACATTTTTTCTTAAGGTAAGAGCATCAGAGAGAACTTATTAAAACAATAAAAGAACCTACACACATACTAATAAGCTTACCAGAGCATACTCCTACTCGAGCAATGGCTCTGTTGGATGATTAGTCCTTCAAACCCCACCCCATGGGGTTTTCCTCTAGTTACAAGTTCATAACTGTGGTAGTTCAGAACAAGCACACATATGAGTCTGAGAGTCTCTTCTTTATATTGCTTGGCTCTTCGATCTTAGACAGTGGATAGGTAATCGGTAAGACAATGGGTTTCTCCTCAAGGTGTAATTTCAAAAGGCTGGGTCTAAAGGTGGGGAATTTGCATTCTCTTTCCAACTCCCCCACAAGTTTCTCAAGGAAACCTACTTAACTTTTTATAAATTCACTTTGTTTCAAATCACCCTTTTGAAGCTGATAGCATTTCCCAGGGTTTACATTAATCAGGTCTCCTTCCTAGAAGCATTACATACAATTTCACAATAATATATAAACATTTGTAATACAATGAACTCCTAAATCACTAAAACTTAATTCAATAAAGTTTGTACAGGTATTGCAGGAAATTTCCTATCTATCACAGCTTACCTTCTGAATCTCCCAATAACTGATTTCCATAACCATTTTATAAGTCAATGGCCTGACTTAGTCACCATTCCAGAATGTCTTTTTGAAATGTTTAGCATTCATACGAATAAGATGATAAAACTAGATAAAGCCTGCCATGGTACTACTAGGCATGTTGCAGCCCACCTCGTGCAGCTCTCCATAATATCAAGTCAATCATGCAAACTACATCTCTTGTACATCAACCACTGATTCCAGCTCTTCTAGCTGCTCTTTTGCAGGTGATATCTAGGCTTATTAGCTCCATAACTATTGACAAGGAAATGCAGCATGACTTTCTCAAGATTCTGTAATTTTTTTGTTTTTCCTTAAGGTTTTATTTTTAAACAGAGGACTGAGGACAGTTTTAGTAAATCCAGAGCCCATTAAATTCTCTAGGGACCACTTCCTGCTGCAGTAAAAGCAACTGTCCAGAGTTCCACAACTTCAGAATCTGTTGCAAAAATACACTGCCCAAGGAATTGTTTTACCCTTTTCAGATACCTGATATGATATAAGAGCTGAAATGCCAAATCCACAACTCGTTTGGAATATTGCATATTTTTTTGCACTGAACAAATAGATGGTGGGTTGTGTGGGTTTGTTTGGTGTTTGTGCATGTGAAAATATCTAAAATTTGTTCCCATCAGCGCCACTCAAAATAAGGCTGCTACTTCAACACCAAGCAAAGAATAGTCTACTCAGCACACTATCTGGCTAGTGTTTTATGTAGTAATAAGAAATGAGATTGAACACTGACCAAATTATAATACCACATCCGTATTCTATGATGTTATAGAAAACAAATTACAACAATACTATTGGAAGATGATAGATGTGCTGCTTTGTGTGGTATTTTTGCCTATATATATCTGGACTGTTCTGTCTGGCCAAGGCAACCTTGGAATTGCAGTCCTTGGTACATATCTTTATTGTAATTAATTTCCATCAAACCTTTTACCCTCATATTTGTACTTTTTCATGTTTGTATTGGTCGTTTTGTAAACTATTTTAATGCTTCTGTTTGCTTTTTTTTCCACATCCTTGCTCTGGACCCAGTCCCACAAATCCTTCCTGTACAGACCTCCCATTGATTTCAGTGAGTTCTGCATGTGGAGGGCTTGCAAGATTGGGCCCTTTGTTTCCTCTTTGACATAGGACTATAAGTAACTCCCAGTTAAGTGAATGGGAATCTTTCAGTTGACATTAATGGAAGTTGCATTGGCCCCATAGTCACTATTAAAAGATGATTAATTCTTGGCATGTTTTGTTTGGTATATCAAAGTCACAGGACCAAGGCATAATTTCTAGAAGCATTTAGAGCATTTACATCTCTAAGTCCTTGTGGCAAGTTTTACTGTCTTAACTTCAGACTTATTTTAATGTTTTTAAATAGATGTAGTGGATTACTTGAACACCAAGTGTTCATAATTTATAGATTTTGTTTTTTTAAAAAAAGCTTCCTGAGGAATGCTAGTCTGTTTTGTCAGAACGTTGTTCACCAATGTATTTTTAGCCATCTTGCAAAAATGCAGTGCAGTTTAAAACTACAGTAGAACCTCAGAGTAACGAACCCCCATGAATAAAGGTTGTTCGTAACTCTGAAATATTCATAACTGAACAAAATGTTGTGGTTCTTTCAAAAGTTTACAACTGAACATTGACTTAATACAGCTTTGAAACTTTACTGTGCAAAAGAAAAAATCTACTTTTCCTTTATTGTTTAGCAGTTTACATTTAACACAGTACTGTATTGTATTTGCTTTTTGCTTTTTTTCTTTGGTCTCTGCTGCTCTCTGATTTTGTACTTCTGGCTCAAAACGAGGTGTGTGGTTGACTGGTCAGTTCATAACTCTCTGGTTTTCATAACTCTGAGGTTCTACTGTAATAACAATTTATGTACAGTAGGTGGCCAGTATCTTAGTTAGGTCTGCTGGGGGAAAGCTCTCCAAAGGCAACTGTGGAATTCACCTTTGTTTTGAGTATTCTATAGATCAAGACACTGAATAACTTATCAGTGAGTGTAATAAGAACTGTCAAGGTTCCTCCCCCACTCTGAACTCTAGGGTACAGATGTGGGGACCTGCATGAAAAACCTCCTAAGCTTATCTTTACCAGCTTAGGTCAAAACTTCCCCAAGGTACAAAATATTCTACCCTTTGTCCTTGAATTGGCCGCTACCACCACCAAACTAATACTGGTTACAGGGGAAGAGCTGTTTGGACACGTCTTTCCCCCCAAAATACTTCCAAAACCTTGCACCCCACTTCCTGGACAAGGTGTGGTAAAAAGCCTCACCAATTTGCCTAGGTGACTACAGACCCAGACCCTTGGATCTTAAGAACAATGAACAATCCTCCCAACACTTGCACCCCCCCTTTCCTGGGAAATGTTGGATAAAAAGCCTCACCAATTTGCATAGGTGACCACAGACCCAAACCCCTGGATCTGAGAACAATGAAAAAGCATTCAGTTTTCTTACAAGAAGACTTTTAATAAAAATAGAAGTAAATAGAAATAAAGAAATCCCCCCTGTAAAATCAGGATGGTAGATACCTTACAGGGTAATTAGATTCAAAACATAGAGAACCCCTCTAGGCAAAACCTTAAGTTACAAAAAAGATACACAGACAGAAATAGTTATTCTATTCAGCACAATTCTTTTCTCAGCCATTTAAAGAAATCATAATCTAACACATACCTAGCTAGATTACTTACTAAAAGTTCTAAGACTCCATTCCTGGTCTATCCCCGGCAAAGACAGAATATAGAATATAAATATAAATAAATAAATAAAATATAAATAAAGACAGAATATAGAACAAATTGGTTAGTCTCTAAGGTACCACAAGTACTCCTTTTCTTTTTGCGAATACAGACTAACATGGCTGTTACTCTGAAACCAGAATATAGACAGGTTTCAGAGTAACAGCCGTGTTAGTCTGTATTCGCAAAAAGAAAAGGAGTACTTGTGGTACCTTAGAGATTAACCAATTTATTTGAGCATCAGCTTTCGTGAGCTACAGCTCACTTCATCGGATGCATAGTGTGGAAACTGCAGAAGACATTATATACACAGAGACCATGAAACAATACCTCCTCCCATCCTACTCTCCTGCTGGTAATAGCTTATCTAAAGTGATCATCAAGTTGGGCCATTTCCAGCACAAATCCAGGTTTTCTCACCCTCCCGCAACTCACTCTCCTGCTGGTAATAGCCCATCCAAAGTGACCACTCTCTTTAAAATGTGTATGATAATCAAGGTGGGCCATTTCCAGCACAAATCCAGGTTTTCCTCACCCCCCCACCCCAGCAGGAGAGTGAGTTTGTGTGTGGGGGTGGGGGGGTGAGAAAACCTGGATTTGTGCTGGAAATGGCGCACCTTGATTTTCATACACATTGTGAGGAGAGTTGTCACTTTGGATGGGCTGTTACCAGCAAGAGAGTGAGTTTGTGTGGTGGGGGGGGCGGAGGGTGAGAAAACCTGGATTTGTGCTGGAAATGGCCCAACTTGATGATCACTTTACATAAGCTATTACCAGCAGGAGAGTAGGGTGGGAGGAGGTATTGTTTCATGGTCTCTGTGTATATAATGTCTTCTGCAGTTTCCACACTATGCATCCGATGAAGTGAGCTGTAGCTCACGAAAGCTGATGCTCAAATAAATTGGTTAGTCTCTAAGGTACCACAAGTACTCCTTTTCTTTTTGAGAATATAGACAGACACAGACCCTTTGTTCTCTCCCTCCTCCCAGCTTTTGAAAGTATCTTCTCTCCTCATTGGTCATTTTGGTCAGGTGCCAGCGAGGTTACCTTTAGCTTCTTAACCCTTTACAGGTGAGAGGAGCTTTCCCCTGGCCAGGAGGGATTTCAAAGGGGTTTACCCTTCCCTTTATATTTATGACAAGAACT